GGAAGAAGGTTTGGGCTTTCGGGTTTGGGGTTTAGGGTTTGGGTTTAGGGTTTGGGGTTTAGGGTTTGGGTTTAGGGTTTGGGGTTTAGGGTTTAGGGCTTGGGGTTTAGGGTTTGGGGTTTGGGGATGTTTGGGGTTTAGGGATGTTTAGGGTTAGGGTTTAGGGTTTGGGGTTTAGGGCTTGGGGTTTAGGGTTTGGGGTTTAGGGTTTGGGGTTCAGGGTTTGGAGTTTAGGGTTTGGGGTTTAGGGATGTTTTGTGTTTAGGGATGTTTAGGGTTTGGGTTTAGGGCTTGGGGTTTGGGTTTTCAGGGTTCGGGGTTTAGGGTTCGGGGCGTCAAACAGAAGCCTCAATAACTACCGACATTACTCCCATTACTCCTTAACTAGATATTTCCATTATAATGTACCCCCCCCTCCCTCCCCCCTGCAAAAAAAGTAATCCTATCCTAAGTATCCAATAAAAAGGGTTTTTTGAGCAAAAACCCTAAACCCTAAACCCTAAACCCTAAACCCTAAACCCTAAAGGGGACGAGACCTTCCCAGCTGTGTCTCAGGGGCCACCAAGAAACAGGTAAGCCTACGAGAAACCCTTCATAGATCCCCGCTAACTCCCGGAAAGACCCCCTGAAGAAGCACGCCGAGGAACTGCAAACCCTAAGCCCTAAACCCTAAACCCTGAACCCTGAACCCGAAACTGCCCTAAACCCTAAAAGCAAAATGAGCCCGTTGAGCCCTCTCCAACCTAGCAGCCCCATACACCCTGCAAGCCTCAAGGCACTAAACCAAGGACTGACGATGATGTTCTAAACCTTTTTAGTAACCCTCCTTTGAACAGGCTTCTAAAATTCTACAAGAGATCTATAGTTTTTTTTACTTCCCTTCATAAGGCTTCTGTAAGAATTCTGTTTGTTATTGAAATAAGGCTTTATGATGAAAACCCTGAAGGAACCTTCTAGAAGCCACGACGATGTTCTAGAACCCGAAGGTGCTCTGGTAGCCCTTATAGAAACCTTTACAGGGCTCTAGAAAACCAAGGAATTACGACGATGTTGTAGAACCCTGAACCTTCGTACTGACCCTTATCTACACCCTCACAGAACCACACCATGATGTGCCAGAACCGTAAACCTTGATAGTGACCATTGCAAAACTTCTTACAAAGCCCTAAACCTGAAAAATGCGCGATGTTCAAGAATCGTAGCCTTCAAAGTATCCCTTATAGTAACCGTTACAGACCCCAAAATCCAGGAATGAAAGTATAGTAACCCTCATAGCAACCCGTGGAAGAACAATAAAACCCAAGAATTGTGGCGATGTTCCAGAACTTTCAGCTTTTGTTGCACTGACCCATAAAGGAACGCTAGAAAACCAAGAAAGCACGATATTGTAACCTTGCAAGAACCCCAAAGCCAAGGAATTACGGCGATGAACCTGAATATTAACCTTCATAGCAACCCTCAAAGGAACCCTTACCCTTAAGCCTTTAGAGAACGTTACCCTAAAACCTAGAGAAAGCTTGAGAAGAGCCCTAGAGCAAGGAACTACGACGATGTTCTAGAAGCCTCAACTGTTACATACTGACCAGAACCCTAAACCCTAAACCCTAAACCCTAAACCCCTAAACCCTAAAACCTAAACCCTAAACCCTAAACCCTAAACCCTGAACCCTAAACCCTAAACCCTAAACCCCAAAGCGCCCAGGAATTACGACGCTGAGCTTCCGGGGCGGCCTGGCCTACGGACGCCTGAGCGCCCCGAGGAAGGTGGAGCTCCTCACGCGTCGACCCTGAGCTCCCAACTGCGGGCTCTTTTTTATTCTTTTTTTTTTGGGTTTAGGGTTTAGGGTTTAGGGTTTAGGGTTTAGGGTTTAGGGTAAGCCCTAAACCCTAAACCCTAAACCGTTTTTTTTTGGGGTGTAGTTTGTCCTTGTTTTTTGTAGGGTGGTTGACCAGGGTCCTAAGGATTATAGTTATGAGGGTTCTAGAGTTTTAGAAGTGGTTTAGGCACCCCAGTTGTAGCTTTTGTTCGCCGTTTGGCATAAGGGTGAAGGGTTTCGGCTTTTGGATTGTTGTTGAGTGTTTGGGGTTTAGGCTTTCGGGTTTACTCGGCGTTCTTCTGGTTGGCTCTTAGGACTTTAACTTTCTGTGTTCCTATATGAACTATAATAAGAAGGCTGAAAGTTTAACTTTTAGGAGGGGTTCAGAGGTCAGCCAAGTTTAGGGGTTCCCTTTTGGAGATGACTCCTAAACCCTAAACCCTA